GGCCTCGTGATTCCTAAATGACATCATCCTAAAGCCTAGTTTTGCAACTCAAAGCTCCTTCTGTATGGCTGGAGTTTTGGGTGGCTTGGTGCATGCTCTTGAGGAATTTCAGATCCTCTGGAGAGAAATGCTCTGGTAGGAGAATCAAGAAAGGGTCAGGATCTGGAGCTGAGGATGCTGTGTGCAGAGGGACTGCAGCTTTGCAAGAGGTCCTGGTGGGTGTCTGTGGTGTGGGGAGCTCTCCCCATCCTTCCCTTCTAGTTTTCTATATTGATATACAGTATACTTGTGTCCCATATGACATCCATACCCTGGCTCTGTCTTGTTCCTGACACTTTACTGGAAGATTCTATTCCACGAATTGCATACAGAGCCACCTTTCCTTTGAGTTTTGTTTTTTTTTTTTTTTCTTGCTGAACAAGTTCAAGATGTCCTTACTAAAACCCTGAGACCTCTCTTGAGGAATAATGGCCAGGGCTGGGATGTACAAACTGGACAGGGCAAGCTCATACAGAAAATTACATTTAAGAGGTACATATTGTCCCTGTGTCAGCTGTCCATCACTCTGACAAATACCTGAGATGATCAGCTGATAAAGAGAAAAGTTTTCTTTTGGTTTACAGTAATGTAGCTCCTGGTTGGTTGGCCCTGTTGCTTTTGCGCCTGTGGTGAGGAGTATGTGTCAGAACAAAAACCACTCACTTGTCTCGAGGACACATCCCCAGTAATCTAAACACCTCCCCCTATGTTCCATTTATTAAAGGTTCCACCACCTTCCACCACCACTTCCCTGTGGACCAAGCTTTTCACACCTGGTCCTTTAGGAGACATTCAAGATCTGAACCATAGGAATGCATAAATGCTAATGCAGCATGGTTTCCAAGGAGAGTTTGCTAAATTCAACTTATCAGAGAAAGGCAGAAGGGACATTTTCAATTAAATTCTTCCTGTTGTGAGACCCTCTCATTTTCTTGTTTAACTTCCTAATGTAAAAAAAAAAAAAATCATCAACTGTTTAGAAGCAGAGCTTTCTTTTCTCTCGTTCCAAAGTTCTCTATTAAGTACTGCAGAGACAGGCTCCGTGTGAGAAGCTAAAGGTAAAGTTGAAATAGGCATCCTTGACTTTGTGAATGAGAGATTATAACAGCAAGCACTTAGCATTGTGCGGTCAGCACATGCAGGTGTCTGAGGAGTGGAGTGGACATTTCTCATTGAGTCAAGGGTTGAAAGGCTACACTGAAGGCTGTGGCAGATCCATCTCTAAAGTGCTTGAAAGCAATCAAGACTTCAGGCTAAATAAATCGTAAGTATTATATTCAGTGGGAATATAATCTGTGAGAGGGAAAACGCTGGCTAAAGGTTTTGATTTATAGAGATTTGATGGCTTGTCTGGTACATGGCTTGTCAATTTTGGAAGAGTTAACATATACTCAACAGTAGAACTCCATCCATACTACTGTAATTTGTTTTGTTTTGTTTTTGTTTTGTTTTAGTTTTTTTGAGACAGGTCTTGCTCCGCAGCTCAGACTGGCCTTGAGCTCACTTTGTAGCCCAGGCTGGCCTCGAACTCCAACTATCCTCCTGCCTCAGCCTCCCGAGTGCTGGGATTACAGCTGTGCACCACCATACTGGGCTCTAACCTACTGTAATTTGTTCTTGATGGTGATCAGAGCACTTCAAATACTCTGGAGGAGAGGGTGTGGTGAATGCACTAAGAAGACTCTGAGCACCCATGGATTTGAAACTGAGGACTCTGCTTCTAATGAGCCGTTGCGAGTTTGCTGTCTGGCTCAATGTGATAAATGCTGGGCTAGGGGGTGATTAGACAGGTTGAGAGGCCAAAGCAAGAAGAGTAGCTACAGGGTAGCTACAGTCACGGGGGCATGGCAGGATTGTGGTGCTGTTAGGGACAAAGAAGGAAAATAATTTGTAGTCGTTTTGGTGTCTAAGACACGAAGGTGAGAATAGTTGTGGATTTTGAGGCTTGCTTCTTAGGAGCACCTCCCGTAGGCCCCTGTAAGAAAGCTGCAAAGGCTGTAGCTCTGACCTCTAGCCATGTTCCCCACTCCAGGTGAGACGTTACTGTGTGAAGCCAAGGAGATGTGGCCACCCAGAGGCTGCAGGGCTCCTTCTTTCCAAACTGTGTGAGGTGCCTGGGAATTGGATTTACCATCCCAATAGCCAAGCTTATTTTCTGGACTTACATGGACTTCATCCCTGCATCCATTCACCCGAGGATCAATGGCCGGGCTAGGCCTGATCCATGGCCAGAGGGCAACTGGTCATGGCAGGGGATGAGACAGTAGAGCTTGGATTTCCTGGCTGTGTTCCCGTGCATGCGGGACCCCCTGAGCTGCGGGGTGGAGTGGAGGGTGGGGAGAAACAGGGTGGCCGACAGGCAGAGACTAGGGGTGAGAAACACCCCTAGGGTGAAACAGGGTGGCCTGTTTCTCAGGTGGCCTTTCTCCCTAGGGGAGAAACAGGGTGGCCATCTTGCAGAGAACTCCCTGGCCTGAATCTGAGACTCCGACTCCAAAAATCTTGCCCTTCTCGGTGATCCTTATAAAAATGTATTTGTAAGGTAGGAAGATAGATTTTTTTTTTT